CATAGATAAAACATATATGTTATTCTTTCTATGACCTTTAAAAATAATAGTAATTAAATCAATATCATAAATTAAGCAAGATTCTTTTTCAAAAATAATTTTAAAATCTTTATCACAAAGTTGACTAATACTAAGTAAATTATGTTTAAGACCATCAACTAATAGAATATTATCAATAATAGGTTTGTTTGGATTACCGACAGATCCAATACCGATGACTTTTCCTTTGTTGTTATCTCTAAAAGTAAGGTACCACCATCCTTGTTTTGAAAAGATGACAATAATTGTATATTTCCAGTCATATGTTTGGAGCAACCACTATCCAAAATCCACCTATCTTTCTTGGGTACCGGAAATAATGAACATTTACAGTTTTGGTGCCCATACTATGTTGGGTCCTTTAAATTAGCCTTTAGGAAACCAAACCCATGAAGAGTTTGATTTGCCTAAATAGTTAGTTGATAAACAAATATTTTTAATAAAATCAGAAATATAAAAATTCTTATGTAAAGAAGTTAATTCATTTAGAACCCAAATAGAAAAGAATTTTGATTTCTTTTTACACAAATTTTTATTTCTATATTCATACAAGTCACAAGAAGGTTTTACAAAAATTGTTTTCTTCGATTTATTTTTATTAAATTGAAAACCTAATCCTTTTGTCTTTTGTGATTCTTTTTGAAAATAAAGTATATTATTAAGATTTTCTTTACCTTTATTGAATTTGCTTACATTCAAATATATATCCTCATATTTTGATTTAAAAGAAGAAATATCTTTATCTAAACTATTAATGTGAATTTTTAAATCATTACATTCTGATTTTAAATAAATATTCTCATTAGATAAACATTCATTTTCTTTAAGCAAAGAATAATTTTCTTCTTTCAATTCAATTACTTGAGAATTAGAAATAGTAGAGGAATTTAAATCAGAAATTTCTTTAAGTAATCTTTTATTTTCACCTTTAAGAAAATTATGTGAAGCCTTTAATCTCACAAAAGTTTCATATAATTCATTGATAGCACCTAAAAGTTCTTCATTGTCACTTACTTCATCTTGCGCCATAAAACACATGTGAGCACTTTCCTTTTCTTCAATTTCTTCATCTGAAGATGACTCATCACTATCATCCCAAATAACTGCCATTGCTTTCCTTTTCTTGTTATTTTGACTGTTGTTGAAGTTGTTAAAATAACTTGATTTTTTGCTTATTCTTCAACATTGGACAATCTTTTTTCATATGACCTGGTTTATTACACTTAAAACAAAGAGGGTTATTTAAAATTGAACTCTTAGATTTAAAATTACCTCGTTTAATAAATTTTTGAAATTTTCGTGCAAACATGCCCATTTCATCATCATCATCATCTGAATCTTCTTTATCGAAAATAGTGTTGAATGCAAGTACTTTCTTGTTCTTTGTTTCTTCATCATTCTTTCTATCTTCAATTTGAACTTCATATGTGAATGCAAGTACTTTCTTGTTCTTTGTTTCTTCATCATTCTTTCTATCTTCAATTTGAACTTCATATGTCATAAGATTTCCGATAAGATTTTTAACTTTCTTCATCATTCTTTCTATCTTCAATTTGAACTTCATATGTCATAAGATTTCCGATAAGATTTTTAACTGTAAGAGTTGGCAAATCATTGGCTTCTTCGATTGCGGTAACTTTCTTTTCCCATTGTGGAGTAAGTGACCGAAGTATTTTTCTTATCATCTCCACTTGTGTATATGTTTTTCCAAGACCAATGAGAGAATTTGTGATGTCGGTGAATCTTGTGAACATTTCTCCAATAGTCTCGTTTTCCTTCATCTTGAACAATTCAAATCTGTGCACTAGAGCAAAAATTTTAGATTCTTTGACTTTATTTGTACCTTCACGAGTTACCTCAAGTGTATGCCAAATATCGTATGATGATGTGGCCGTTGACACCCTATTGAACTCATTCTTGTCAAGTGTACAAAATAATGCATTCATTGCTTTTGAATCTAAATTTGTATTATTTCTTTGTGAAGTAGTCCATTCTGAAAATGGAGTTGTTGGCTTCTCATATTTTGTTCCCACAACGTTCCAAAGTTCGTAGCCAATTGATTGAAGGTAAATCTTCATTAGGCACTTCCAATAGTTGTAGTTTAAACCATCGAACATTGATGGACGATTTGTAGAGTGACCTTCTTTGAATTGTGATGTATTTGTAGATACCATCTTTCACCTTGCTGTGATACCAAATGTAGGATTTGAAATAGATACACTAGAACACTAGAGGGGGGGGGGGTATAAATTACAAAGAAAAATGGCAATCTCAGAAATTCACAAGCACAAACACAAAGTTTTATACTGGTTCCATCAATCCGGTGTACATTCAGTCCCCAAGCAAATCCCGCTTGAGAGTTTCCACTATGATTTTGAATAAACTTACAAAATCAAAAGCAAACCTGACCAATTTGCAAGTCCCAGCAAATTACAACACCAATTGACAAACACCTTGCTAATTTACACACCAATCTCTAAACCAAGAGATTAACACCTCTCACAACTCGAGAAAACTTTTGAAGCAACAATTTCAATTCCTATAAGCCTTGATTTGTAGTGTAGTGTAGTAGTGGCTTAGGAATGATTCTAACTTTTGTAAATTTCCTAAACAATAAGTATTTGAATGATGTTCAAAGGTAATTTCAGAAACTTTTTTTTTCAAAATCTGAATATTTTTCACTTGAAAAAATGCACAAAGATCAAAGCTTATGGGTATGTAAGTCTCTGCATTTTTTCTGAACAAATAACCTATTTATAGCCCTTGAAAAGACAATTTTTTGAACTTTAAAAACGTTTAAAAATGGCTATAAACAGTCATAAATTCAAACTTTAAATTCTGAAAAAACTGTATCTGTAGTCGACTACAAGACAGATTAGTCGACTACACTGAGTTTAAACAGACTCTGTGAATTCAGAAAATTTCTCAGTAGTCGACTATAAAGTTCATTAGTCGACTATACTGTAAATTGACAGAATCTTATATTTAAGTCATATACATGAGTAGTCGACTACTATTCTAATTAGTCGACTACTAAGAGTAAGAAATATGAACTAAATATTTTTATACTCAAATATTAACTATAACTCTAATGGTTAACATAGGGGATTTTTATAGTTAACCAACACACTAAGCCTGTGTTAATGTGTTCTAATATTTATGTGTGTGTGTGTGTGAGTGATCAAGGCTTGTACAATAATTATAAGTAAAGAAAATGTAAAATATATTATCTCATATGTTCTTCATCTTCTTCACTTCATAATGCCTTGATCTCAACTTGCACTTGTTCATATTTTGATATTGAAATCTGCATATAAAAGTTAGTGCATTTGTATAACACACATTGTATAAATTGTTATCATCAAAATAATATCATGGAGATATGATATTCAACAAGGCGTAAGCTTATCTCTATTTAGGAGTCAAGATAAAGTTCCCCGCGTGTGTAAGGCGCGGATTTGGCGTTATTAATAACGGTCTGCCACAATGTCGAATATGTGGGCTTCTGTCATTTTTACGGTCAAAAGACTAACCGACAATGTGTGTTAGACGCTGACTTATCTTTACTTAAGCTTCGGGATAAAAATCCCCAGACTTGGATTCTGGTGTCTTCTTCAATCGGTGAAAGACTAAACCGACAACGTATATTAGATGTTGACTTATCCCTACTTAGGATTCGGGATAAAATCCCCAGACTTGGATTCTAATGTCTTCTTCAATCGGTGAAAGACTAAACCGGCAACGTGTGTTAGGCGTTGACTTATCCCTACTTAGGCTTTGGGATAAAATTTCTCAGACTTGGATTCTGGTGTCTTCTTCAATCAGTGAAAGACTAAACCGGCAACACGTGCTAGGCGCTGACTTATCCCTACTTAGGATTCGGGATAAAATTCCACATGTGTGTAAGACACGGATTATGGTGTTGTTAATAACAACCTGCCACTGTTGATTTTGGCCCTGTTTTCTTGGTATAAATAGGAACTTCGTTCCTAGGGTTTTGTGCAGCGGTTTTTTAGAGAAAATAAGAGTTTTTCAGATCGGAAAGGTGAGATCTTGAGGAGAGAAAAAGAGAGAGAACTTGGAGGGATTGTACAAGAAAGAGATCATCTTTCTTGGGTAAAACCAAAGCCTCGTCTTTTTGGGATGAGCTTGTGGGTTGTACAAGTCGTCGGTGTTCTCCATCATAGTGGAATCTCCCTTCACCCCTCCCCGTGGACGTAGGCAAGTTTGCCGAACCACGTAAATCTTGTGTCTCACTTATTGTATTAGCTATTGCTTGTGTTGGTTGGTTCCCTCGATATTCAGACCTAGATCTGATGTGTCTCACTTATTGTATTAGCTATTGCTTGTGTTGGTTGGTTCCCTCGATATTCAGACCTAGATCTGATATTGGGAAGAGTGTATATCTCACATTGCTTGTGTTGGTTGGTTCCCTCGATATTCAGACCTAGATCTGATATTGGGAAGAGTGTATATCTCACGTTGCTGAGATATTCACTTCTGTTCTTGTTTTTGTTATCGAAACAGGAACATCGAGATTGGCTTGTGTTTTGTGAAAACAAAAGACAGGACTTTCTCTCAAGGTGATTCGCTTCCACGGCGAGGTGGGCGTGTCGGCGCCTCAACAGTAATGAATCTAAAGAGTGACCAATCTACAAGCTAAGCATGAGAACGACAAGAGGCAAGTGTTCTTCGATCAAGGATATGCAGTGTTCTTCTCCTGTGACTATTACATGCTCATTCATACTTCACACCTTATTGCAACTGAATCCAACTTTGCTGCATCTTCGACAAGTTAACATTGCGAGAATTTCTAATAAAGAGGAGGAAGACGTAAAAGTGTTCGACTAAAGGCAAAACACTCTTCAAACAATATTTATTTGCGGTCCGAGAAGATTACCAGTTCCTTTGTTATTTATTTGTTTCTCTCGATGACGTACAAAATGTACAGGGAACAGGAAGACGTTAAAGTGTGCTTTGCAAATGATTCTGATGATGGAATGAATGCTTACAGGGAAGTTCAGTATGTGGCAGATCACAACTAAGAGAAAGCCTCGACTATACGGCTACGAATCAAAATACATGGAAAGATGATACGAACAATATACATTAAAAACCCTTTTTGAACCTCAATGCTTCTGTAGCAAGTATAAATCTCCGTTTCTCACGTCAATCTAAATGATGATACCGCCTGCAGGTGAACAGAATTGGATTTGCTGAGTGGTCTGATTTTTTTAAGGATAATAAACAAATTGGGTACAAGACCTATTGTTCTCTAGCTCACCTTCTGTATCTCTGATCCGTATTTATCCGACTCATCCTCCACAAACTGGAAAAAGGAAAGAAAGAGCAATTTCATACTCAAGAACCCGGTGTACTGCATCTTTAGGCGTTACACGTAAAAGACATGATGTATCCCACGGCAGAGAATAAAACATAAGAGATGACAATATACTTGCCTGCCCTGTGACTGTATAAAGCCTATTGTACCAACCATTTGTGGCGGCCCCAATGGCTGAGTATAAATGTCGAAGCTTTTCCCCTGGACTCTGCATCGTATATTCCACATAATACAGCCCTGCGGAATTGAAGCAATAAATGTCTTAGAAAGTAAATACGTTTTATCTTGCACACAAGGTATAAATTTGCAAGTATTAACCATTTGCAGCTTTACAATCAATCAGTTTTGCTGCCAGCCCAGGAGGTCTTGTCCAGCTTCTATCCAACCCACTTACCTAATCCAACAAGCTAGAAAACTGTATAATCTTGAAATTTTGGTTTTGGCTTTCAAAAAAACAATGAGAAGAATGATGGTTTTTTTTACCAGACTTTCTGCAAATGCATCTACGGAACCAAAAGATTTCAGACTGGTGAAATCTGGACCAAGCCCAGTGATAGCAATGCTGACTGAACACAACCTTTCAGCGATTAAGACATAATTAACAAAGAAATTATTTACAAATGTATGCACGTATAACATACGCACACAAATGCTGTAATGTACATTAAGACAAAAAATTAACCATTAGAATCAGAAGCTTCTTCAGGGAAGAATGCAGTAACAGAGTAGATGCTTTTGGTGTCTGCTGCACCAACTAACCAGCCTGCAGAGAAAATCACCCTACTCTTAGCAACATAATTGTGGATTAAGTAGTAAAACCATATGAAACAAGATCGCGATAAATTTCTGAACATCAATGATTATGACTTAGATGAATATTATAGCGCATGCCTTATATTGTCAAATTGCATCATCCAGTCAATGTGTGATAGCTGAAAGCTTCTCTTGGCCATACCTGCTACCAGTTAAACTGAGCACTTGGCTGCTAATGCTTCATTACTGTTGTTGACCTAGAATGTTATAGAATATAAGTTCACTTTCCTATTTAGAAGCATTGGTTCTCGGAATGATGGTTACAAATCAACCGAACTGATCTTCTTTCCCAATTTATCTGAATAATAAATAATAATAATAAACTTTTTAAGTACTGTAAAAATATTTTAACAAGTTTTTTTGGATTGTGAAATACTCAATCCTACTTTCATAAGTTACCTGCATGGATGAAAGGTAAAAAAATAAAAATAAGAAAAAAAAACTTATTTTTCATATTTTATTAGTAGTGCTACTTGATATTAGCTAGTAGACTGTAAAAATGCTCTTGCTTTTAGAGGTGCATGGCTACGTATTGGATTTGAACTGGGTACCAATTATATCCATATATATCTAAACCTGATAAAGGATGATCAAACCTGATCCAAATCCACTAAGAATTACGGGCATCCAAAAACATCATCCGCTTTACTTAGAATATGGCTCGGCTTTAAAATATTATTTAAGTAACTTCAATACCATTAAGACCTAGAGCTGTCCAAAAAAGAAATGAGTTCACCAGTTATCCAAGGAATAACAAATTTATTAACAAAGGATACATTATCTTATTTAATTTGCATAGCGTCTCTTCGGAATGATCCCAATTCTATACGGGATTGTTGCATGTGGATGGATATCTTGAACATTGAGAGATAAGCATCTCTTTACAATCTTCAGATTAGTTTAGTGTGTCTGGGTATAAGTAAATCACTGTACAAATATAGATTTTGAAACAGGATAATATCCAAAACCAACGAGATATCTTTATGGACGTGAAATTAGTATCCAAATCCAATTATTCGGCATCAGTTCAAAAATGCCTACAATAATGTAGATATACATATTGATGGCCAAAAGATGTCTAAAATAATGACTTTCGTTATTTAATTAGGATCAATTTTTCATCATGATAATGAGATTGAGGATGATGATGTTCATCGAATCAAACCAAGGTTGTTAAAATGGAATGGCTCAGGAGTCTTTTGTGACCATAAAGTACCTATGAGATTGAAGAGAAATTCTATAGGACCATTATAAGACCAACAACGCTTTATGAATAAGAATTTAGGCAATAAAAAAATGGCATGTGTAGAAAATGAGTGTAGCAGAAGTGAGAATGTAATGATAGAATTGTAGGCATACGCTAAACGATGAGAAGAAATGAGTAGGAGATTAGAGGTTGCTTCTACTGAGGATAAAATAACAGAGAATCGATTGAGATGATTTAGTCATGATGTACAATGAAAACCCTATATTCACTGGGATAATTTAGGGCCAAGTGTGATAGTTGTCCCAGTAGAACAATTTTAACCCATGGGGGACAATTTAAGTGAGAAAAACCGAGATAATTTGGGATAGTGGGATAGTTTAAAATTGTGATTGGGACAACTTAAGTGCGACAACTGATGACATGGCACCTTATTAGAATATAATAGTTGTTAGACTTACCATGATTTATCATAATATTTACTTAATTTAATATTGAACATATTATGTCATAATATAATATGATATATTAGAATAAATTATTTTGATTTAATATATTACAAGATTATATATTATATTGGAGTTATCATAATTTGACAAAAATATTTTTTATATTGTTAATATAATATAATATAATATTGAATTATAAATAATATAATATAGTAAAATATAATTAATATAACATTTTAAATATGTTATAGCAGAATATACTACCGTAATATATTTTTAAAATGTTTAATACTATTAATATAATACATTTTATTAATATATATGTTATTGATACTATTGTAGTTTGTATCGTAATATATTATAGTAATTATATTTTTTATTATAAAATATTACAATATAGTTTAATAAATAATATAATTTAAAAATACTGTAATAAGTTATATTATATTACAATTAACTATTATATTATATGATATTTAATATAATATATTCAAATATCTAAAATATATTCTATTATAATTAATATAACCTATTAATTATACTTTTAGTATAATATAATATAATATAATATTTATATTATATTATATTATATTTTTTTGAACAATATATTATTGTATCTATTTATTTATAATTTATTAACAATATAATGGCATTAGTTTTATAGTATAATGTAATGTAATATAATTATAAACATGAATAGAATAAATTATATATTAAGTTATAGTTTTATATTAATACAATATAACATAGTATATTTTATATAATATAATATTATATTATTATCTATTATATTATATACTTACAATATAACTAATATTTATTAGGTTTTTTAGGGGTTTGGGGGATTGGGGTTGGGGTTGGGGATGGGGGCAAAAAACTGTATATAGGATGTACAATTTTGCCGCAAATGGTGTAATTATCCCATATTATTTCAAACAAGTAAAGTTTCAATCCCATTTACACTAATGAATAACCCCAAATATAAAGTCTCTATGCCATCACATTAATCAATAACACCATAAAGTAAAGTGTCACGTCCCGAGCCCACGGGCTCGTTGGCGTGTACAAGCCGTGGGACCCACGTAGAGCAACTCGATGTTGGTTTAAATCTTATTTAATTTGCATAGCATCTCGATGTTGGCTTAAATCTTATTTAATTTGTATGGTGGAGTGATTGTGACACTCCTACTTTAGTCCCACATGGACTAGTGTGAAGAAGTGTTAGTGATTTCAATAGAAAAAAGCCCAAGATCCAAAAACAACTAGTGCTAGCATTTTGGCGGTGGATTTAAGCCAACATCGAGTTGCTCTAGGTGAATATTTCATATTAGATTCTTTGCAATTGTTAAAAAAATATGAATATCTTCTTTTGTGTTTTAAAATTCTTAGTATTACTATACAACTATACATATATATATCGTATTTTGTCGCAAGGAACAAAACTGGAAGCCATGGACCAACAGAAGATATGAAGTACTTTTATACTCCGATCTATGTAGGTTTCGAGCTACCTTTTAGTCCCATTTGAACGTGAAAAATAGTGCAAAAAACAAAAAGCAAGTTTCAGATTTGGTGCAAAAGTTTCTTAAGACGAGTAGGAAATTTGACATTAGGTATTAGCAGCAGGTCTGGTCAGGACTAGACATAGTGATAGGATTCACAAACTCCTTGAAAAGCTTGTGTCACTTTCTGAGAAGTTCTTGCATAATTCACACACTTTTAATGAAGCTATCGTATGATCTGCATATATATTATTTGCAAAAATCACAAATCGTTTATGACATTGAACTAGGATCCTTGAAGTGCAGGTTTCAATGCCCTCGCCAATTCACCAGATGCTTTATGACATTCTGGACACAGCTACATTTCATATCAACAATGTAAACGCAACCCTCGTACAAACTCAACCCTGAACTATTAGGGAACAGTTCCCTAAATTTGCGGATATTTTCCCCTGCCTCCTGACACTGAGTTGTTCCTAATCACCAAATGTGTGAATAAGTAAGGTTCCGGTGACCTTATGTAGCGTGATCATAAAATGACCTCCGTTTGGTCATGATCCCTTGATTTATTTTGGCATCTTAATACACATGTATGTAACCCGCCTACCCTCTAAGGGTTCATATATTTAGTCTCCTTACTGTGCTCCTATGCAGATCTTTCATCAATCATAGGTCGACGAACTAGTGACAGTGATGAAAACTGCAAATAATGTTCTAAGAAATAAGCCCTTTTTCAACCTTACATAACTACTAAACACTAATTATACAAATGAATCATCATTCATGAGGATCCTACATTCCTAATCTTACCCAACTCAATTAATTAGCTCGTCTGGTCAGCGACGATCAAGCCATATTTAACCAAACACTCATATCTTGTTGACTGATTCCATCAGTCCATAGTTCATGTCAAAATATTTTCGCCTTTAGTTAATAAAATGTGTTTGGTTCATACAAAATTAGAAACCTAATTAACCCGAGCACAAAATAAAATAAAATAAGGAAGATTGTAAGCGGGATGCCCTCCCAACAATGTTCGACAATCTTTGCTCATACAGGGGTTAGCCACAAAAATTCTGGCTAGCTGTTAACTTATAAAGGTCAATACTATACAGTGACGGTAACCACTTCCTATAAAGTTTGTTGTCGTTAGGATAATTATCGAACCAATACATGTTTGATTTCCATGTTAAGTGTACGATATGCATTAGGGTAAACATTGTGTAAGAAACAGTTTAGCAGATAGACTTACAATTTTTTTTTTTTTTTTTGGTTTTAACCACAGGTGTCCACACCACACATTGGTTTCGAACTCTTGCCAACAGGCAGGAGCCCGCCTAGAGACCAACTTGCCTATCATGGGGCCAACAACTTGTTGGTAGATAGAATTACATTTATAATGAAACGAATGAGGTGAGGGGAAAAAAAATATCCACCTTGTGGCACCAAAATCCGGAACTTATTCGTCTCATCTTCATAAGCTCTAAAATTCCCCTGCACATCTAATGTTCAGAGAACCATTCAAACATTATCAAGAAAACTTAAATCAGCACCTGAATAATGAATTATAAATAAGAACAAACAGAAATTTTACCCGTTTCGGCTACAGCATTCGAAGCTATAACAGGTAAAGCGAACGAAGAGATAAATATCCGAAGCAACAAATCCCTTCTCTTGGGTGCGCATCCCTCATCAGAGCAAACACTAAATTGGTCAAGTTTTTAGTTCACTGTAACCACAATAGGAGCTAAAACAAACCTATAATTTGCCTGATAAATGTTACCGAATCTTTGAGTGCAAGTGATCAGCGTTCTCGGATTTGATCGATCGACTTCCGGATTGGCCGGCGATTGCTGAAAGGGGGGGAAATGATAATTGAAGTTAGACTTATGAGTCATTAGAAGAGTATGGAGGTAAATTTAGGGTTAGGGTTTGGAGATGGTGACCTTTGGAGCGAGAGGGGAGAAGAGAGTGTGAGGGAGGAAGAGAGCAGAAAATGGAGGCCATAGCTTTTTTGGAGATTGGTTTTGAGCGGAAGGCGTTTAAATTAGCTTTGTGCAATTTTCATTTAGAACCCTCTATTTAGTTCATTTTACTTCTCTGTACGCAAATACAGAATTTGTCATCTATATTATCCAGGGTTTTCTCCATATATATCCCGTACTTTATAGCTAGTTTAAAGTTTCCCCATAAAAGGACTTGCAAATGTTTATATATATATATATAGCAATTCTTATGTCAACTTAAGTGGATGGTCCACCAAAATTTCTATCTTTGCATGATATGAAGAGTCTTTTTATCTAATATTATTATAAAAGTGTGTTGGTATGTTAAAATATTTCTTTCAAAAATGTCCTCCAAACTACATATACGCATCCATAAAACACATACTTGCATACATACAAACACATACATATACATGCATACATTCTTAATAATGGCATAACTCTCCTATTAATTGTCCACTAATATTAACTTCTATTTTTTATAACCCCTTCAGAAGAGATAACGACAAAGGGGGTGTGAAGACGAGTGAAGTTGTGCTGATGAACTACTTAACTTTAAGTTTGCATACATATAAACACATACATATACATGCATACATCCTTAATAATAACATCTCTCTCCTATTAATTGTCCACTAAAATAAGAGTTACATTTTCAATTGTAGTTTTTATTTAAGTGGCAATTATATTTGACTGTTACGGAATCCAAAGAGCCTATTTTTTTTATTTATCATAATAGCTCTTACTTGCAACCTATATAAATTCACTCATTTGATGATTTAGATTTACACTCACCTCTTACAACCCTAACAACATCCTATACTCACCACATGACTTTACTATGATAGTATTTTGATGATACAAGCTCGCCATTGAAAACATTATTCCTTCGGAAGAGATAATGACAAAGGGGGTGTGAAGACGATTGAAGTTGTGCTGATAAAGTACTGAACTTTAATCGGATTATACTTTATACTGATGTGATTGTTAGACTGACGGCTATACGTGGATTAAATTTACGATTGATACAAGGAAATGTGGAGAATTTGGATTGAGGCTAAAGTTTGAGGTCTAATTTGGGGGGTTTAATAAACTTTTATTTCTATGTCTATAATTATTACTATGTACTTAATTGTGATTTGAGAGAAATATTGTATTATCCATGAACTTAGTAGATATATTTTTTGTAGCATGTTACTAATTATATGATAATAGAAGAGAGAGAGAAGGTGAAAGTAAGAATTTTATTTTGTTATAATGGATTAGCAAGAATAAAGATAATTAATATAAACAGGAATAACATGACACACTTAACATAAAAGTAAAGAACAAACTTAGAATTTTTATCTTTTGGGTAAAGTTTTTTATATAATAAGTATATTATAACCTCTCTAATGTTAAAACTATATTCTAAATTTGCACAAAAAACTACCAGTAGTTATTAAATATCATTCATTATCTTTAATTATAAAGTAAATAGAACTATGTCTTTTAAGATTAAAAAAATTGTATCTTTTGGGTATTCCATGATTTGCTATTGTTCACAAAATAACCCTGATTTTTTCACAAACAACCATAGATCTTCATAATTTTCATAAAGACCATTGAAATTTCATATATTTATAGAAAAATACTAAAACTTCATAATTTTTTACAGAAAACCACCTATATAGTTCAAAACTTAAATCTTAAGAAGATTGAAAGAAGTATATGATCTAAATTGTAAGAAAATTATAAATAAGTCCTCAAATGTTGTTATAATTACATTCAAAATGAAACTTTTTCATTAATTAAATTAATTAAATAATGAATTGTGTAAAGTATTAGAACATAAAACAAATATGTCGACGTGCAACGTACGTGCGCTATACTAGTATATATAAATGAGTGGATAGAAAATTTGGTGGACAAAGGCTTGGTGTCCACTTAACTATAACTAACTAACTAACTAACTAACTAACTATATATATATATATAAATACAATTCAATCAAAGACACAAAATATGACAATAGGAAAAAAAAAAGAGAGAGGGTGAGAGATAGTTAGCCAATGACAATGGCGATATGTTCACGAGGTTCAGCCACTCTTGACCTACGTCCCTGACCACCTCTCCTCCCGATGGTAATCGACTCCACAAACCGGTTTGGAAGGCGAAACTTCTTACACAATCATCTTCTCGAGATCTAACTCTCCACATAAAGCCATATAGTACTAGATGAAGATAATAATCTCTCTTACAAGAATTCTATGACAAGGATGAAAAGATTGACTATTGAAACACTGGGATTGTGACTATATGAAAGTGAAAGACTTATAAGAAAAAAGGCTTGAGAAATTTTGCTTTGAAAATTTGAATCATAAGTTACCTTGTTGTTCTTCTTCTACAAATCAAATGGGTCTTTGAGGACTATTTATAGCCTCTCAACCACATCAGAAGGTATGGACTCCAAATCAAATCAAATCTGTCCAAAAATGTTTTCTAAAATCCAAACAAATCCCTTAAAAACCGGATTCAGATAAAACTAGTCGTTACCTAGAAATCTGAAAACCGATTGACTAATCAACGAACCAGTCGACCGACCAGAACGACTGAAAATATACAGTGTGGTTGATAATCACTATCGGTCGACTACTAAAGGACGGATCTACTAATAGTTTTGGTCGACTGCACAGAAATAATTTGTAGGTACTGTAAAAAAATGAAATATAGTCAGTCGACCAATGATTACGGTCGGTCGACCAATAGACTAAAAAAATGATTTTTATTTAAAATAGTTGAAACAACTTAAAAGAAGTTTTGAGGCTTTGGAAAATACTTGAAGTTATCAAGTACTAATGATAGAAAGCATTTTTTAACAAACTTTTGTTTAAAAATGACTTTAAAAGATTTTGATAAGAACGAATTTTAAAGTACGTGTGTGGGTATAATCCCCTAATGCTTCAAGAGTTATCAACTTTATTTCTTGCTACATTATGATCTAGAGAGAAATAAAAATACAAATATCACTTACAAATATATACAATGCTGGAATATCGATATTTGTTAAGTTTTGTTGTTGATGAAGCTCTTCTTGAATATATACTTGAATGCTTTTCTTAAGTAGATATTTTCTTGAGTCAATCTTTGAGCATTTAAGGCTTCTTCATCAACTTGCCTCCACCTCTATGAATATCTTCGTTAACATGCTAGTCCATCCATCCTCCTTTACATGGCACTATATTGCATGATAAACATATCCTGCGTGGGATCACTTGACAAGTAGTTGTTAGACCCTAGAGGGGGGATGATTAGGGTCTTATGCTAATCTAATCCGATTAAATACCAATTAAAACTTATTAACAAGTTATCCTAGCAAGTATGAAATACAACAATGTATATGAGCTAGGATAAGTAATATGAACAACAAAGAGATATATCCTATATGATGAATATGTATATATGCAAGGATATATAAACAACACAAGGGTAAAATAATAAATCTACACAAGTGATAGGGTAATATGATGAGCAATACACAAAGGCGATATAAGATATGAAAACAAGAATAAGAACGCCAATGCAATCACAAACACACGATATGATCACGGAGTTCGGACCTTCCATCCTACGTCTCCGCTCCCCACTCCCGGGGAGAATTCCACTATCACAACCGGGTTTTCTACGTTCACCCGAACAACGTTTACACCTCACAGTATCGGTTTTCAACGCTCACCGATCAACGTCACTCCTCACAATCGGTTTTTTAGTTCACCGAAACAAACCCACAACCCTAAATTATACTATGAATGTAAATACAATAAGCTCAATAGGTTGTGTGTGATCAAAGAGATAAAACAATATAAACTCAATATAGAAATCTAGCTTATGGAAATTAAGATCAAAACAATAAATAGCTAGAATTGAGTTTAAGGAAAACTTCTCTATAGATCAAGAGTGTAGGGAGAAGAGTTGGATGCCCAAACACCAATAGATTATCTCCTCAAGCTCTTGTTGAATTGAATCACAAAACCGAAACACTCAATTGCTTAAAAGCTTCTTAAAACAAACTTAAACAAACACTAAACAAGTTTAAACCCTTGTTAAACTATTTTAAAACAATCTCTTAGATGATTTTGAAGAGATCAGCAAAGGGGTATTTATACCCTCTCACAACTCAGCCAAAAACCCCAAGCAAAAAGACAAAACAGCCCCAAGGCAACGGTCAAAAAACTAGCCGTTAGAAGCTGAAAACAACATCGTCGGTCGACCGGAAAATTCATCGGTCGACTAAAAATTTTCATCGGTCGACCGGACCGGTCGACCGATAGACTCTCTGTCGCCCAGAGAACATATGAACTCAGGTTCGGTCGACCGGTTCGGTTGACCGAAAACTGATACTCAAAAACTGTATATCTGATTTTAAAACGCTGTTTAAAAATATCAAATAAATTCCAAAAAATGTAAAACTTTGGGGAATGATTGTAGACATGATAATAAACATGCTACAGCGACTGGTTATCAGAAAGGACTTCCCAAATAAAAATATCATCATTTTGCAAGATAGTCCAAAACACGAAAATGTAAACATGTGAATTTTGACATTTTGACTAAACCAACTTTTGAAACTTTAGAAAATGATTTTATAGACTTGAAGAAAGATGTAAACTATTAATATGAAGTCTATAAACAATGAATGTAGTATTTTATCAAAATACACATATAATGCACTAAAACATGATTTCATTTAACTAACTAAAATTGATATTGATGAAATCATATATATGCATATGAGTATGAAACAAAAATATGTTTTCTAATTATATTCAATTGTTTCATAGTAAAACTTGAAAACTATCAAACCAAAACATATATGTATATATATAACTATATATATACAAAAACCAAAACGTGTATGTGTGTATATGATTGAGCTTAAAGTACTAACACACATAATATAAATTCCTAAACTAAAATACCCAAGCAATGATCTTGATCTTCAATAAGCTTGACTTGGTAATCTCGCGGATGAAGCTTGAACTTGGAT